ACCAGCCCTGCCGCTGTCAAAGTGTTGCATCCCATCCCCTGCGACGGGGATGCTGCAACAGATTGTCAAGCCACGATTAAGGGGATCTGTTACTCGGCACGGATTTGTGCTCTCCTCCCAGGGAGCAATTTCTTAAAGCTTCGCAGGGAATTCTCCTAGAGGAACCTCACTTTTATCCCTAAAGGAAATCTATCCCTCTCCAGGGCCCCCTAAGGATACAGCAGCAAAGGGAAAAGTAAGTGTGGTGGCAAAAATCGAAGCAGGTGCACAGAAATAAAGAGGTCTTTACCTGCAGTTGTAGGTCCTGATTTCCTTGTTATCCCTTTTGCACTTGACTGCCACGAAGATCATGGTGACAAAAAGAATGGCTGCGATAGACCCCAGGGCAATAATGAAAATCAGGGAGAGGTTAACAGATCCTATGGACTCCTGGGCATCCAGAGCTGGAGACAGGTATATCAAAATCAAGGCGGAAGCCGACAGAGATGTTTTCCCATGGTCGTGAGCCACCACAATCAGCTCGTAGGCTGTCTTTGCATTCTCCCCAAAGGCTCTGGTGGTCCTTATCTCTCCATTGACCTGGTCTATCTCAAAAAACCCTCTGTCTCCTTCCACCATTTCGTAGGAGAGCCTGCCATTTTCACCCTCGTCGTAGTCATCTGCCTTGACCACGGTCACCAGGTAGCCGACCCCTGCGTTCCTGGGGATGTACACCTCCGCCGTCCCGTTGACCAGCGGCGGGGCCGTGATCACCGGCGTGTTGTCATTGACATCCAGGACAATCACCCTGACGGTGGCGTTGCTCTGCAGAGAGGGATTACCCCCATCTTTTGCCAAGACCTTGAACTCAAAGGCCTTCGTCTGTTCGTGATTGAAGGACCTCAAAGCATAGATATCTCCAGAGTTGGGGTTGATGGAGACATAGGTGAAGACAGGCATGTCCCTGACTTGGGAGGGCACGATCTGGTAGGAGACACTGCCATTGAGGCCCAGGTCAGGGTCCCTGGCTGAGACTGAGAGGAGGTAGGCCCCTGGGGTGTTGTTCTCCTGCACAATAACCTGGTAATAGGGCTTGGAGAAGTGGGGATGGTTATCATTCTCATCGGTGATCTTGACAGTGAAGGACTTGGTGGCCTGCAGGGAGGGAACGCCGTTGTCCCTGGCCTGGATGGTGAGGTTGTACTGGTCCCTCTGCTCCCGGTCCAGCCGCCCATCCACCAGGATGGTGGAGAAGCTCTCGTACTCCTGGAGCCGGAAAGGCACGTTGCCCAGGAGCTTGCACTGCACGCGCCCGTTGGCGCCGGAGTCGCGGTCCGAGACGCGCACCAGGGCGATGACGTACCCCGGCGGGGCGTTCTCGCTCACCTCCACCAGCTCGCTGTTCACGGAGAGCAGGTTGATGAGCGGCGGGTTGTCGTTGGCATCCTGGACGCTGATGGTCACTTTGCAATGGGCAGGGATGGAATTAGGCCCCAAGTCTTTCGCCTGCACGTCCAGCTCGTAGACGTGACCCTCCTCATAGTCAATGGCACCGCTCACCGTGATGAGGCCGCTCTGCGGGTCGATTTGGAAGAGCTCCCGCGCCCGCTCGGAGACGTAGCTATGGAAAGAGTAGAGGACCTGGCCGTTGGTGCCCTCGTCCGGGTCGGAGGCATTGAGGCGGATGACCGGCGTGCCCGGTGGGGCGTTCTCAGGCACGCTGACGGTGTAGGCCGGCTCCTCGAAGAGCGGGTTGTTGTCATTGGAGTCGATGACGCGGATGCTGAGCTCCACCGTGCCCGCGCCCGCTCGGAGACGTAGCTATGGAAAGAGTAGAGGACCTGGCCGTTGGTGCCCTCGTCCGGGTCGGAGGCATTGAGGCGGATGACCGGCGTGCCCGGTGGGGCGTTCTCAGGCACGCTGACGGTGTAGGCCGGCTCCTCGAAGAGCGGGTTGTTGTCATTGGAGTCGATGACGCGGATGCTGAGCTCCACCGTGCCGAAGTTGGGCGGGTCACCCCCGTCCAGCGTTTTTTTGACTGGGTCTCGCGGTCCAGGCTCTTCTCCACCACCAGCTCGGCAAAGCGGGACCCATCACCCCGCGTCTTGGTCTCCAGCCCAAAGAGGTCATTGGGGGTGATCTCATAGCTCTGCACACCGAAGCTGCCCGAGTCCGGGTCGTCGGCACTCTCAAGCGGCACCCGGGAGACGTGCCGTCTCCGAGATCTCCAGCTCGATCTGGTCGGTGGGGAAGCTGGGCGCGTTGTCGTTGAGGTCCTTGATCTCCAGCTTGATCACGCAGATCTCCATGGAGCTGGAC